GATAAAAAATTCAATCGGGAAGTAGGATCGAGCAAACAATACAAAAAACCGGTCGAAATTAGAACGCATATTTCTGGCTCGGTATTGGGAGAAATTGGCGCCAGCAATCAGAGATTGGCGCCAACTTTTAACTGTAGTGCTTGGCGCCAATACTAGCGTCTGGCGCTACGGCTAAAAGTGTGGCGCCAAGCTCTGGCCCCTAACGCTACTTCCCACATGCCTCAGCAGCTTTCTGTGCTCGATAAAATCTTCCAGTTTCGCGTGGTGTTATTTCAGTCCTAGTTGTGAAAGACATTTCTCAAATTTCCTACGTGTAAAATCCTATGTTTTTGACTTATTACGGATGGTCTTTCCAATGAGAACCTTTTTTTTGCATATGACAATAATGTTAATCAAAATTACGCACATGAAATACTTAGAACTTTTCGAGTCTCATCCACTCATTCTAGATCATTGCCGAAACAAATTCAGGAATTAAAATAGAAATCCTCCCCAGTGGAGTCGCCAAAAACTGTAGGGAATAATTTCAAGCTTTTAAAATCCCACTAGCTTGAACCCCACTGTGATCATACACTAAAGTACGGTGGCGTCCAACGGGAAGAAGATAGAGCAAAAGAGTCGCCAACAAGTTTTTAAGGAACTTGTAAACCGTTCACGAGGTGAAGGTTACACCCCTTAACGATCCAAGAGATTGTCAACTCCATAAGGTCATGAACCAAATAAGGGTTCGGGGATGAAGGTACAAATCCAACCTAAAAGAGATTGAACCTGCCCTAATAATAGGCCTCTACTTTATTCTGATCGTATTCATGTGCGCTTTCTGACTAACATACAATCAATAGGTTAACCCTAAACCTGTTTAATCTATGTTGGTTGAAATTAATGCACAAACAAACTATTATTGGCGATCACTTGAATTATAATCACAATTAACTCTAACAAGATTATTAATTATCTTATTAAGCGTGATTACAAGTACCAAATTCCCTTTAAACATGCATCAAAGGTGTGATCAAGCAATAAAGAATAAATAATGTATCAAGCAACATAATCAATAATAATCATAAAGAATAATAATAATCATATCATTATAATAATAATAATAATAATAATAATAATAATAATAATAATAATAATAATAATAATAATAATAATAATCATAAATAAAATAATCATCATCAAAATAATAATAAATTATAACAATTATAATCATAATCATGTTCATGTTAATATTAAAGCATAATAAAAATAGCAAGATCCTAGGCATGATACTAACAAGATTAATAACAAACCCTAGCATTTCACTAAGCAATAAAAATCAAATCTTTAACCCTAACATGATACTAGCAATCATAAATATTAGGAAGAGCATAAGAAACATCACAACAATCATATTTAATATTAAAATTACCCTAGACATGATACTAGGAATATCATAATAACAATTTAAACATGATTTCTACATCATAATATTAATTAATCAATAAAGTACTTACTTTGATGCTTCGTACCTCTTTCTAATAACAAAATACACACGTTAGTAACTTCAAGGAAAAATAATAATTAAAGCAATAAAATTAAATAATTGAAAGAGAGATTTGGGACCAAACCCTCAGAAATTAAAACCTTTCACATCTAGGGCAAAGGAAACTTCGAATATGGATAGGTGTTTCTAGATCTTGTGAATGCGGAATTTTGTATGAAAAAGTAAGAAAGAATTGAATGAATGAAAGAATGCTAAAGAATTAATGATTGTTGATGAAAGCTTATTAAAACTAATTATTGATGAGAATTCGTGAATGAAAGATGATGAATTATAGATCATGAATTGTAGATGAATGAAAACGGAGTTTTTGATACGATATTTATAGAGAAAATCAGCCAAAAAGATAATTTAACAAAACTGAGTCTGACGCACGTAAAACAAGGTTGGCGCCAACCCTGGCTAGCTGGCGCCAGCCACCAATGGCTAGCGCCTGGCGCCAATGCCTGGGGTTGGACGCCAAACTGGATTACAACGCGTTTTCGAAAATCTGATAAATTTCCCGTACTGGAGGATAAAATAATATAATTTCTTCGAAAATGCTATTTGATTTTGATTAAAACTCTGAAAAGTCAACAAAGTCAACTTATCAATGCTTATTGAATTAGGAATGAAAAATCATATTAGGCCCTCCCCTAGATCATTGGGCCGTAAATAAAACTCAAACCGGGCCCAGTTTAGTAAATTGGCAATATAAAATCCTCGATATTCATCGGAATTGGGCTTATAATATATCGTTGGAAAGGTCTTTGCAAGCCCCATCCTACTACACTACTATTGAACCCATATCATGGACCAACCAAACAAGATTGGCTGTTTTCTTAAAATAAAGTTTTCAAAAACAGAGAGAAGAGAAAAGAAATAAAAACTTTCCGTAACACTAGACCTTTCCACACTTTCGTTTCATTCGATTATGATTCGACGTGAAAGGTACTCATCACTGGGTTTGATTTTGGGGAGACACAAATGGGTGTCTACAGGTGTTTAAAGGGTCGAAATGCAACCCTAATGCTTGTTAGGGGTAAATCGGTAATTTTGGAACCCTTTAAATACCAATTAGAATTTTCTGCGTAATTCTAGTGAGAAAATAACTGTCCAAAAGTTGCGGAAAATCATTCCAACTTAGTCAAAAATACCAAAAATATTCGCCATGAGCTTTCAAATGGATGCAGGGTACACAGCTAAGCACCGCGTCATGTGGAAAATTCCCGCGAAAAGGTATTTGATATCGTCTGACGGGGGAAAATCCCGTAACGCGTGATACTTTTTCTCTTAATCATTTAACGCGCCTCGGTAAAATAGCCGTGCCATGTGAAAAAAAGCCGTTACGCGGTCACGGGATGAGTGGCACGGGAACGGAGTCGTGTAACGGTTATATTTTTGGGTCTAAATTCAAGCTACTACTTCCCCATTTTATTACTTCTTATTTACCATTTTCATTTTCTCAGTCTCTATCTGTTCTATCTTCTCCATTTTTTCATTTTTAACTTCGCCGATCACCGTGCCACGGAGTTCGAAACCTGCGTGCGTCAGACATCACCATGCCGCGGCTTCTAGGAACGTGCCTCGGCGTTTGTGCTCCGCTGTTTTCCTTTCAAATTTGCCGCTGTTGTTCGCTGCTAGTGTCTGGATGTTCGTCGCTGCCGTCAAAGTGTCGCCGCTGCCATTAGAGTGTCACCGTGACACGGGTAGCATTACCGTGCCACGGTCCTGAAAAACCGTGCCGCGGCGCAGGTTCTATGGTTTTTCGGGCATTTAGAGCTCAATACTCCACTAAATCCGCTCCAATTTTTCTCTATTTTCCTCATTATGATTTCTTACAAGAATCCATGAAAGTTTCCCTTGCTTTTTGTCTCAAATATTATTGTAAAATGCCATCTCTGCATGAAACCCTAAATAATTCAAATTAGGGGTTTTTTATTTGGAGCTTCTATGTTAAAATTCTTGCTATGAATTAACTTTTACTACCTTCGTTACATATTATTTTCAAAGATTTGACATAAAGTAGAGAGGAAAAATGTCTAATCATTACAAATAATATGTAATGGAGGTAGTATATGAATGTATGTTTGTTTGTGAGAAATTTGAGACCAAGTTTGTATGATTTGGTGAAGAATTGAGCAAATCACCATTTTTTTGTACTACTTGGGTGAAATGGTGTTCTTGTTGTCTATGTTATTTCTCTGCACTTAAAATGGTGATATACTAGTTGTAGATCTTGTAAAATATGCAATGATGCGCCGATCAATTGTTTTTGTGCAATTTCAAAACATGCTCTGTTTTTGTGTATGTACTATATCGTCACGGAGAACATAGTATCATGCAATTAGGAGAACTGTAGTATTAGTTTGTCATTGAGAAACTAAATACTAGAAATAATTCTATCATTTTTCTAATTTTTAGCCATCAGGTAAATATTTTGCGTATAATAGAAAATGCAATTTGAGGTAGCAGTTAAGCCGCTTTTGAATATATAACTAAATAACTTAGGAAATGATGCTAAGTATTTAGATTTTTATTTTTGAAATAGCATGCCTAGACAACGGGATCGCGATCTTTCTATCGTGGCTGGCGTTAGGCTTTTCAAGAGGACACTCTCACAGTTCCTGAGGGCATGGACGACGATTCCTTAAAGACTGAGCCTCTCCCTTCTACGGGTAGAATAGGTAGATTCCACCTCCGTGAACACCAGACAAATTGGTTTTCTGTCATGAGAACCACATTTCTCACCGTCCACTTGCAGGCATAGTTTATGGCATGCTTCGCCATCATGGATCCGGAGCTGGAGATTCGTTTCCCCGGCTATACGGGATTATTACGAGGGATCCAGTCACTAACGCCTTGTGGGAGTCTACTGGTTTAGGAGATTTATATTCAGCGGTCGTAGGATTTCGCAGCCCCCGGAGTTGTGGTTCGAAAGTTGTTCGTGCGTTGTTGGAGTATTTTTGGGATACTACTAACACTTTTCACTTTGCTCGGGGGGAGATGACAGTGACCCTTCTGGTTTTAGCATGATCAGCGGCTTACGCTTCACCAAGCGGGCCTTACGGTAGATTCCTGACCTCACTTGGGGGTGGCTGAGGTAGCAGATTTTTTAGGTCCGGTCGTTCAGCATATCAGGACTCACCCAGTGCCTCGAGGTGGTCCTAAGAGCGTGCGATCAAAGTTGGCTTTTGTTCTTTCCCACGGCTTTGACACTAGTAGAAAAAGGCTCATTTGCGTCACTCATTCTAAAGAACGAAGCAAATGTATATTTTTACCATCCTTTAAAGTTATTTGCGTCGCTTGTTATTGAAGAAGCGACGCAAAAGTTAAGTGTATGTCAGCTTTCTATCATTTGCGTCGCTCTTATTTATTGAAGCGATGCATATAATAACCTTATTTGCGTCACTCATTTATTGACAAGTGACGCAAATAAGGGAGTGAATAAATTGCGTCACTCTTTTAATAAATGAGCGACGCAAATGACAAATTTTCAGCATTACAGATTTTGTTATTTGCGTAGCATTTTTATAATTAAGTGACGCAAATAACTCTATTGCATTTAGGTTATTTATTGTGCGCTTTTTTAACCTTAGCTTTTCACGCCTACCTTTCACTAATTCACTAAACAAAAATAAAAAAACAGAGTTGCTTCCAGTGAATTTCTACAGAAAAACACCCATAAATTCGACCCAGAAATCCAACAAATGCGCCCAAAAAACTGCAATTCCCCAGCAAATTCAACACCCAAAATCGCAATCAAGTTCAACACCCATAATCGGCAGCAAATCCGAGCAATTTCGAGCAAAAATTTAGACAAAAAACCTTAAGTAATTCGAACCCTTAAACCCCAGAAAAATTGATTGTTTCCGACCAAAAATTCCCCATTTCGAGCAAAAAATGTACTCAATTCCATACGAATTCGAACCCTAGAAACCCCAAAAAATTCAATTAAAAATCCTGGCGAAAATATTCGAGCAATAACTGAAATTTTCGAGTGGAAAAATCGCTTAATTTCGCCCCAAAATCCCCGAGGAAGTTCAAGCAAATTACACCAACAACAATTGAAGTTCGATTTCGGCTCGACATTGTTGAATTTTTGAAGTCAATTTCACCTAAGGTAAGATTGCTTTTATTTATGTTCAATATTTTCACGGTAGATAGAATGTAGCATTTAACTTGAACAATGACTTAGTTTAATTTCAGGTTTAGTGTTAGTTCATTAATTAGAATATATATGGCAGATTTAATTGAATTTTTATAATTTCAGTCATTGAATTTTCATTGAGGCTCATCTCAATTCAAAGCTTTAATATATTCACCTGCATGTTTTCAGCTAGTACATTTAGTCCGTAGATTTTTACAGTTGCTGTTTTGCAATATACTACTGGTTTGCAGCTGCATCTTTGATCTGCTGGTTTGCATCTTTGAACATTCATTGTTTTTTCTTTAATTTTATGGGTCATGTGACATCTATGATTCTTTGAATGTCTTTTTAAAATTATTTTTTATCATTTAATTTTTTTGTAGGCATCATCATAATGGGCGATGGGAAGCACGAATTGGGCGAGTTTATGAGAACAAGTACCTCTACTTAGGCACTTTCAGTAATTTCATGAACTCTATTTCTCTCGTGCTCGCTCTTGTTCTATAAGATTTATGATCACGAGCACACACGCAAATACGTGGTCAGACAAAGTGATTATCATAATCACAGGGACAAAGATACTTAATATTTGGACTGACCCTTTTGGTTTGGTCACTTTTTGTGATCATCATATATAGTATATGTTATATGTATTCCTGTCCACTATAAACAATAAGATATAAAGGAAAGGGGGTGAGTACGGTACCAGTAGATCTGCCATTAATTAAAAAATTGCTCATACGGACTCACATGGCGTCACGTGATTCAAATATTGTGAATACCTTTTAGGAATGGGTTGCTTGATCTGATTTTATGAAGAAAATTATTAGTATGATTAATTAATTAGGTAGGGTTTTGGTGAAAATTATGATCCACTAAGATTCCTGCTTTTGCTTGAACCCCGTCACACCTAACTATTACATATGCAGTTATGCACCCCCACCTTTACTTATAAAGATATGTAATAAAGTCAAATTTGATCAGAAAAGAAAACAAAAAGAGGATTAAAGAATAGAATCAATCTTGTGAAAATAAATTTGATATTTACTGGTATTTTCGGTAGGCCCTTAATTCTGTCTTTCTTTATATAGGGGATGATCTAGAGTAGTTGAGAAATTAATTTTATGAGAAATTAAGATGAGCACTAAAAAATTAAGGAAGCAATATACTACTGGTGTGCAGCTGCATCTTTGAGCTGCTGATTTTTACAGCATTTAACTTTGATGGCAATAAAACATTAGCTTTGCAGCTGTTATAAGGTTGTTAATTCATTGGACTGAAAATTTCACATACTTTAGGCGACAAAAAAGGTACTTCCCATCTGTTGGACCTAGCTAAGGTGACCTTCAATCAGTCAACAAGTTAAAAAAAACTATAAATCAATATTCCATCCATTAAACAACCAACCTTTAATTAAAAAAAAAGTTTCAAAATAACAACTAGCATTTATTTCACATGGCAGATTAAGTTGGACCTAGCATTTAACACTCGTTTCAGGTCTTCAAGTTTTACACCATGATTGGCTAATAAGCAATGCCGAATAACAACTTTTATTTCACATGGCAGATTAAGTTGAATCAACTATGTTGGTTTAATATATGTAATTTTTATGGCAGATTCTTAATTATGCGGAAGTGAATTCCACAAGTTGCTCGAGGTTCTGGTTGTGGACAAACGATTAAGGCGATAGTACGCATACGAGATTGTCTTCACTTGTGGTATGTATATCTGAATTATTCTTTACAATATTAACTTATTTGTTCTTGTTGTTATAATGATTGTGAATTGTATGAGATTTTTAATTGTGATATAATTGATTGGAATTGTAATAATACTTGCATCATTGGCTTAGATACCCGTTCAGGGCTTACTCATTAGGAGTAAGTCTTGAATAGTCCCCGGTTTGGGACTGTTTTTGAATGTTCTATCTCATTTAGGTGATAACTACTTGAACTGTTTTTGGGTCTGAGAAGATCATGGCTCACTATTTCCCGATTGTTCTCTGGGTACATATGTTGGTAGCCGATTATCTACATTGTGTGCTTGGAGAACTATAGGGAAATGCTGCCGGATTTTCTTTAGAACCAAACTTTACAAGTAGTTATTAGTGAGATAGGACATTCAAGAATGGGTTAGGTTGGAGTGATAAGGACCTTATTGGATCATCCGGAGTTGCATTTACATGATATAAACTTTGAATGAAAATGTTTGATGCCTTATATTCTTGTTTATGGTTAAGGAGTTATATATGTAAGAAAATATACACATTATCTTAAAATTAATTTTAATATTCAGTGGTTGAAAATGGATCGAAGTTGGATATATGGTAAACGAAATTGTACAAGTTTTTTACGAGGAATTGAAGAGTTTAGCACTGTTTCCTTAAAACACCAAACAGAGAATAAATCAAAGATTATTCTTTGTCCTTGTTGTGACTGTAATAATTCGAGGGGATATCGTGATATAGTTGATATTAAAGATCATCTAATTCGTCGTGGGTTTACAGAAAACTACACAAGGTGGACATGGCATGGTGAGAGCATATATATTGAGGCAAGTTCTAGTTATTGTCCAAGGGAAGATGAGAATCATTGTGATGATGATAATGAACACCAAGGTGAGGATATCGATACTGCTGATATTGGTGTTGAAAGTGAGAGTGAAGTGGAGAAGGACAGGATAGATGAAATGATGCATGATGTTGAAGACCATTTCACAGAGTGTCCCCAGACATATGATAGTATTTTGAGAGCTGCAGAAACCCCGTTATATCCTGGTTGTACAAAGTTCACTAAACTTGGTGCTATTATGAAGTTATTCAACATAAAGGCGAGCAATTGTTGGACCGACAAGGGTTTTACACAGTTGTTAGAAGCCTTAGTAGAAATTTTTCCCGACGGAAATGAACTTCCAAACTCCACCTATGAGGCCAAGAAACTTATGTGCCCCTTGGGTATGGAGTATGAGAAGATACATGCTTGTCCCAATGACTGTGTGTTGTATCGAAATGAGTATACTGATTTGCATGAGTGTCCAAGGTGTGGAGTTTCTCGTTACAAGATGAATGATACTGGTGAGTTGTGTAAGAAAGGGTGTCCGGCTAAGGTATTATGGTATCTTCCAATTATACCGAGATTTAGGAGACTCTTCTCGGATGAAAAAACTGCAAAATTATTGAGGTGGCATGCTGATGGGAGGAAGAAAGATGGGTTAATGAGGCATCCTGCTGATTCCCTGCAATGGAGGAACATTGGTCGAAAGTTCAAGGACTTTGGTGAAGAAGATCGAAATCTTAGGCTTGGTCTTAGTACAGATGGAAGGAACCCATTTGGGACACTAAGTACCCAATATAGCACTTGGCCGGTTCTTTTAACTATCTACAATTTGCCTCCTTGGTTATGCATGAAGTCTAGATACATTATGTTGTCCCTTAATTTCTTACCCTAACTTTTAGTTTCTTAATAATTTAAGTATAGCAATTTAATTCAACTTATAACTATATTACTTGTAGTGCCCTCAACAATTGGGTGGACGTGAGTGTGGCTACTACGTCATGCGTTATATGTACGAAATACTTGAACATCACCATAGCAGTGAGGATCTTATTCAGGTATGAGTTGTCAAATATTTCATTTTTGTTTGATAAATACAATTTGATGTTAGATACAATCTTGAATTAAAACTTTCCTCTTGTATATTTGTTGTTGATAGGATTTTTCAAGAACTACACCGTACACCGAGGAGGAGATAAATGAGATTCGAGATATTTGGGCAGAGTATTTTATATGTAATGTTGAACTTTAGATTTACACTTAGCGCATGTTGGACTCTTGTTTTGGATTATAGGCTTGACATGAATGATTTTGGTTAATTGGTGTTGGGATGATGAGTATAATGTCTATGATATTCAGATGTAAATTATTGGACAGGTTGTTAATATAATGCCGTCATTCCCAATTTTATGGGTAGGCCAAATTACAAAAGAGACTCTGCCGAAATTTACATTTGCATTATTCAATAATATTGCATTTTAATTTCAATTATATTAGCGTTAGCATATTACTTTATACCACTAGCAAGGAAAACATGTACTACAAACATATACAAGGAAATTATCATAATTAAAAAAAAATAAAAAATTCACCTCATTTGCGTCACTCATTAAACAAACAAGTGACGTAAATAAAGCAATTTTGTATTGTCTAGTTAGTCATTTGCGTCACTCCTATATAAACAAGTGACGCAAATAACAAACAAGAAGTTTATCTTAAGAGTCATTTCCGGGACTCATTTTCATGATAGAGGTTCACGTGAGCTCGTTTTCTACCTTCCTTCTCTTGTTAGGATCGACGAGATAGGATTCTATAGTTGGGCTAGCCTTGGATATGCTGATCTACTTTCGTCGCTGTGTCATGACTGTAGGCAGCTAAATGACTAGGCCCATGTCGCTGTCTACGGTTTATGGAGAGTCGTAGAGGTGACGATCTTTCTTCTTCTTGTCTTGTTTTAACAAGTTTAACACATGTTCTTAGAGACTACTTTTCATTGCAGCTGTTGTTTTGTGAGTACTTTATGGGATTGGCCCCTCGACGGCGTCGCGGAGCGGTCTATGATTTTCCTGTTGGAGCCAGCTGGCGTGACCGAGGCAAGTTATTAGTGGAGTCCGTAACAACGCTACGCGAGCTGCTGCGCCGAGCCACCTCTTATTTCGGAGTATGAATTGATTTTGCAGCATATTATTCTCTACCTTGATGTTATTTTCCGGCATTCATTGCAACTTTTTATGGTTTTCAGGTTGCTGTTGAGGTCCAGTATCGGCCGTGGGCTGGGATGACTGATCTTCCCGAGGCCTTGGAGCTTTCAGCGCACCGTACTTCATTTGTTGGTACTGCCAGCTTCTCTTGGTATCTTAGGGAGCGCGTTGTTCGTTAGCACAGCGCTGATAAATTTGTGGTGCCTTTGCCTCCATCGGAGTCGATGCTGGACTCACGTTTGCTTGGGGCGCTGATGAACAGGGGGGAGCACTACACGTTTCCTTGGTAGGAGCTTATGCGTATGGAGGGTGATTATTCACAGGATTTGCTCCCTTCTTTGGCTCCTCCGCCCCGTCTTCCTGAGGAATGATTTATTTTAAGAATTTTGTCGCCAGTCTCTGTTTAAACCGTCGAACAACCTAATTATTCGATCGTATTTTCAAATGGCTGCTCGTCGTAGGGGAAAGATTAAGGTCCCACCTTAATCTGTCCGTTACCCGGGGCCGATCGGTATTACTAAGGATCATATTGTTGATGCGACAGAGGGTTTTAGACAGGCACAAGAGTCTGTGCCTGATGTGTTTGAGCCGGTGAGCTTTTTGACACGTTATTCATGCTTTTTAATACAACTTATTACTGATTTTTCTTTGTTCTCAGCCTACGCACTCGGACATGATAGGATTTATGAAGTTGGTTGATGCTTTGAAGTAATGCATCATCAAGCTATGACGTGGTGCGAGTTGTTAGGGTTGATCTGGCGATGTTCTTGAGGAATATTCACATGTTTTCCCATATTAACCATTTGTTATATCTTGCACTATTGACATCTTTTCATTTCTTATCTTTCAGGAGCAACGGAGGTCTCGCTCGTGCTCGAGGCACAAAGACTCGGACGAGGGGGAGCCTAGTCGCCGCCGACGAATCTCAGACGATGTCTTGAGGTTCGTCGGCATTCTCAGTCTCAACGGCAGCCTCGGCCTTCTCAGCCGTTTCAGGAGGCTTAGTGGCAGTAGCTTCAGTCTTCTTAGCCATTCCAGCACTTTCAGGGTCAGTGGCAGCGGCCTTCGTCTTCCCAGCCTTCACATCCTGAGTTCAGGCCAGTCATTACTCTTGTGGACCAGGGTTTATAATTATTTCCATTGTCTGGGGCGCTGCCTCCACCGGTGCAGGGCTTATTTTAAGTCCCATTGTCTAGGACAATGCCTCCACCGACGCTTCCTACCTCTTGGAGTCAGCCTACGTCATTTCCTAGTTGGACAGGTCCTGCTTTGAGTTTGTCTTCTAATGGAGCTATAGGGACTAGTAGGGATGCTACTCCTCGTACACGGCTGATGGAGGGACTCTTTGGTCCGCCGTTCCCGTATTCGTAGGCTGGAGATGACACTGATCCTAATTCTTCTAGTTCTGCAGATTTTTTACCGAGGGTTTTATTATGTACTTTGATTGATGACACTTAACACTATTTATGCGTCATGACTCAGTTTGTATATTTTATTCATATTTATGCATTTATTAATGTGTGTATTAGTGTGTGCTTGAGACTTATTGTGTGTGATTGTATATTTATTAATGACGCGAAAAATATGTCGTAAGTTGAGGTTACGACCTTCCCTAAAAGAAAAAGAAAATGAAAAATGGGACAAATTTTGCAATTTCCACAAAAAGAAAAATAAATAAAAATGAAAATGGGTCAAGTTTTACAACTTTCCAAAATAAAAAAAGGACAAATTTTGCAATTTCCCCAAAAGAAAAAGTAATAAAAATGAAAATGGGACAAGTTTTACAACTTCCCCAAAATAAAAAGAAAAATAAAAATAAAAATAAAATAATAATAAAGACAAAATAAAAAAAAAAATAAAAATAAAAAAAATAATAAAAATAAAAAAAAAATAAATGGAGAATTTTATTAGGAATGAAACTCTAGAAAAACAAGATTAGAAGATAAACGGTGAAGGAAAAACAATAAAAATCTGGATAAAAATAGGTAAAGGATAAATATAAGAAGACGCGTGGGCACAGCGTCACGGCAGTATATGCCGTGTCACGGTAAATATGCCATGTCGCAGTACAAATTCTCGTGACACCGTGCGCGTATTCTGCAGCGGTGTAGTTTGCGCGCATAAAAATATAGATTTTGAGTGTTTCCAAGCGTTTTGGCTATAAAACAGGACTAGTTTATTCGTGATATGCATAATTACGGAACATAAAATATATAGAATTTCATATTTCAATAATAATGTCTCAGAACTTTGACAATACATTGCATGACTAGTCCTATTCTTTGACCAATGCAGACAAAAGAGAGCTGAAATTGTTTCATGTCAAAGGCTTATTAACCGTAAGGCATGTAGCAACTGAACAAGATTTTGTTAGGGCAGCTTTAGATTATTGGAATCTGGAAACTCATTGTTTCAAATTTGATAATGATGAAATATGTCCCCTGCCAGAGGAATTCGGTACCATCTTTGGTTTTCCTGCTAGAAATCTCATTGCAATGCCTACCCTACATGAGTATTATTACCAAGACTTTGAACGTCATCTAAATCTGACATATCCAGATTTAAATAAAATTATGTAGGGTAGGGATGGCAACGGATCGGACTCGGGTCGGACTATGTAGGGTCCGAATCCGATCCGTTTACTAAACGGACCTAAAGTTCGAATCTGACTCCGAATCCGACTCCGCTTATATAAAACCCGAATCCAAATCCGAATCAGATGGACTCGACCTCCTTCGACTCTGAATCCATGTCCGTTTTCCAAACATTATTTTCTTCAGTTTCTTAAATTAGAATTACAAATTTCTTCCGTTTCATAGATCAGAATTAGAAAAAATACAAATAGAGGGGTTGCAAAAGTTTAGAATTTAATTTTTACACATAAAAATAATACTGATTATCACTTGAACAATTATAAAAAAAATTTAATAAATTTCAGATCTACAAAAAACTAAATACTCGTACTCCAAGAACTTTCAGTTCTACCAAAATTACTTAGGGAAACATAGAACTTCCAAGGTTTTTCTTGGCTTCGGCCTTCACATCTTCAAGTGAAACAAGTGGTGTGAAATACAACAACCATACAAAAAACAAAAATTACTTCATAATAGATGATGCGAGACTGTTTAAGTGTTCTTATTATTTTGGTTTAGATTTCCATTATTGATTGATAATTGGAGTAGTTGACAAAAAAATCTCAAACAAATTGAGTAGTTCAGAGAAAATTGAGGAGAGAGAAAGGGGAGGAGTTAGGAGAGAGGAAGAAGAGGATTTAGGATAGAGGAGAGGAAAAATTGAGGCTTTAAGGTTGAATGGTTGAGGAAAAGTGGCGGAAGAGTACAAAAAGTAGGGTAAAATAAATTTATACTCCATGTAAAACTCACGGGTTGGACTTGGTCGGTGTTGGGGTTTTATAAGTCTAACTTACCGCGGAAACGACCCCGACCCAAAGAACCACTCGCAATTAATAAAACCATAAAGCATAACACATAAACATAAAAGGATAAAATTAGAATTTACCTTTGACTCGTGCTTTGCCCGACCTAATGGGCTCTTACTTTAAAGCTTTAGCTCCGAAAATACCGAGCCTCCAACGGTATCCACCCACAAAGGACGAACACCGACTTTTTAGGTCCACTACCTTGGTGTTAGAAAGGTCCGACCAAAACAAGAGTGATTAAATGAGTTAAAAGGTGTTCACAATGGTGATGCCTTTTTCAACTCTCACTTAAGTGATTTTCCCAATACCCCAACTTGGGTATCTATAGGGAAAACAAGAGAGTGAAAAACTCTCCCATAAATGTTGGAGAATTTGATTTTTCCATTATATTTAAAAGCTAAAATAAAACAAATAATCAAACAAGTAATAAATCAACAAGTGGCAAGCTCATGAGAGAGGTTAGGTGAGGACCATTTGGAGTAGGGGGGGAACAAAATTTCTCCCCACTCCCTCTCCAAAAACCGTCCAACTCATCCCTCAAGCCTCCTCTTACAATGCACCACATGGCACCACACTTAGGCACCCAAGGTGGGCTGCCATATGCGGCTACCAGCAGGCCCCGCACAAGCGTGCGGGTTGCTTGGCGCTGCTGGCCAGCGAGCCCAGCAAGGCTTGTGCGGGATGCTCGTGCACTCGGCTAGGAAGCCGCACATCAAGGATGCGGGCTGCTGCTGAGTGTCGATGCTCCTTGCGCACGTTGGCAAGCGCTACTAGCATTCGATGCTAGCATTGGTGCGCTAGCACGCACCAGCCAGCCTAGGCTCGGCTTAGTGCGCATGCTAGCCACC